TACTTGGGAGGCTGAGGCACAGAATTGCCTGAACCCGGGAGGCGGAGGTTGCAGTGAGCCGAGATTGTACCACTGCACTCCAGCATGGATGACAGAGTGAGACTTCATCTCAAAAAAAAAAAAAAAGGGCCCAGGTCTACCTTTGGGAAACTGACCTTGTCAGAAACAGAGTGCCTTCAAGACCGCAAAAGAGTACTGATAGAGACATGCCCAAGACTGGGTTATTTGCAAAGAAAAAGAAGTTTAGTGGACTTACAGTTCCACAAGGAGGATAACCAATGCTAATACAAATCAAGGTCCAGTGGCTAGATTAATATCACACAAAATCGATATCAAATGAAAAATATTACTAGGGATAAAGATGATCATTTCATACTGATAAAGAGGTCAATTCATCATGAAGACATAACAATCTCAAACATTTACTCATCTACTAGCAGGGCTTCAAAATACATGAAGCAAATGCTGATGGAACTGAAAGAAGAAATAGAGAAATCCAAAATTGTAGCCCAAGATTTCAATAATATTGTCAGTAATTGAAAGAAATGTAGGCAGAAAATCAGCAAAGGTATATAAGATTTCAACAACACTATCAATCAACTTGAGATTATTGACGTTTATAGAACATTCCACCCAACAGCAAAATACACATTCTTATCAAGTACACACGGAAAATTCACCATATTAAGAATCTGTTGAATTTCCAAGACAGATCTTCCTATGGTCCATAAAACAAACTATAGCAAGTGCAAAATAATAGAAGTCACACCAAGTTATATTCTCTAATCACTACAAAATTAGAAATCAACAGTAGAAATATCTCCAGAGAGTTTCCGAATATCTGTAAACACATCTTCAAATGGCCCATGAACTAGGGAGAAATTAAAAGGGGAATTGGAGAGCATATTGAATGGAAAGAAAATGAACACATGATACAGTAAAATGTCTGGGATGCCGCTAAAGCAGGACTTCCGAGAGAAAGAAGGCTTATATTAGAAAAGAACAGTCTTAGATGAATTATGTCAGCTTCCACCTTAAGAAACTAGAATAGAGTAAATGAAGCTCAAAGTTAGCATAAGGTGTAAAATAATGAAGATCAGAGTGGACATCAATGAGATAGAAAGCAAAAACAATGGAGAAAAACTATATAAGCCCAAACTGGTTTATTGACAATGAGGTAGGAGGTAGGACTCAACTCAGAAGGTGGGACTTGACTTCCATGTGGGGGCTCAGACAGTGGACCAAATTGAGGACTAGCTAAAACAGGGCCAGGGCAACATCCACAAATTATACCTTTCTATGGCAACGACCAAGTGAACCAGAGGTTGCTATCCTATTTCTAGAAATTTCTGTATAATCTCCCCCTTAATTTGCATATGATTGAAGTGGATATACATATGACTGTAGAACTGCCTCTGAGCTGCTACTCTTGTAACTGCCTTTGCACAATTAAGACTGCGACACTGAAAGAGACCTAACTTAATCGACTCCATCTTGCTTCTAACCTCCAAGATGTCTTTGTTCATTCCTAGGCTGAACTGACTTTGGGAGAAACTTAGTTTATTATAGTTTAAAACAAAGATTAACAGCTGTTTCCCAAAGCAGACCTCCTTGCCTGGAGACTAGATTGTCTTTGTAGGACTAATATTAGCCACAGGATTAGAAATTACGGTTTAGAGCCGGGCACGGTGGCTCACACCTGTAATCCCAGCACTTTGGGAGGCCGAGGCGGGTGGATCACAAGGTCAAGAGATCGAGACCATCCTGGTCAACATGGTGAAACCCCGTCTCTACTAAAACTACAAAAAAATTAGCTGGGCATGGTGGCGCGTGTCTGTAGTCCCAGGTACTCAGGAGGCTGAGGCAGGAGAATTGCCTGAACTCAGGAAGCAGAGGTTGCGGTGAGCCGAGATCGTGCCATTGCACTCCAGCCTGGGTAACAAGAGCGAAACTCCGTCTCAAAAAAAAAAAAAAAAAAAAAAAAAAGATTAGAAATTACGGTTTAGGAGTCATGCAGCTGGAGGCTACAAGATTCTGGCTCTCCCTAAGCTGCTCCTAAGATCAGTGCTTGAGATATTTTGCAGACCCTGCACTTGATGGATCAGCTGGCAGCACCAGATGGATACACTGGCACATCTGTTCTTGTGACCCCACCCAGGAACTGACTTGGTGCAAGAAGACAGCTTTGACTTTCTATGATTTCATCTCTGACCACCCCTGGTTCACTGGCCTCCCACAACCTACCAAGTTTTCCTTAAAAACTCTCCTGCCTGAATGCACAAATGCTCGGGGAAACTAATTTGAGTAATAATAAAACTCCAGTCTCCCACAGAGCTGGCTCTGTGTGAAGTACTCTTTCTCTATTGCAATTCTGCAGTTTAATGAATCAGGCATAGTGCACATGCCTGTAGTCCCAGCTGCTCCGGAGGCTGAGGTGGAAGAATCGCTTGAGCCCAGAGGTTGAGGTTTCAGTGAGCCAAGACTGCATCATTGCACTCCAGCCTGGCCAACAAAGGAAGACTAAAAATACAAAAGTTAGCCAGGTGTGGTGGTGTGTGCCTGTAATCCCAGCTACTCAGGAGGCTGAGGCAGGAGAATCACTTGAACTTGGGAGGCAGAGGTTGCAGTGAGCTGAGATCACGCCACTGCACTCCAGCCAACGCCGTCTCTACTAAAAATACAAAAAATTAGCTGGGCATGGTGGCGCACATCTGTAGTCCCTCAGGAGGCTGAGGCAGGAGAACTGCTTGAACCCAGGAGGCAGAGGTTGCGGTGAACCAAGATGGTGCCATTGCAGTCCAACCTGGGTAACAAGAGTGAAACTCCGTCCAAAAAAAAAAAAAAAAAAAAGAAGACCTTGTCTCAAAAAAAAATAAAAATAAAAAATCTTCTTTTGGGGTGATGAAAAAATTCTGGAATTAAATAGTGATGATAGTTGCTCAGTCTTGTAAATATACTAAAAGCCACTAACTTGTGTACTTTAAAATTGTGGATTTATATTATGTCAATTATACTTCAATTTTAAAAAGGAGGGAAACCCAATCAGTCTAATTTAGCCGTTAATAGAAGAAAAAATTATGATCACTTAATAGATGGAAAAAAGCATTTGATATAAAGGAATTTTGTTTGATTTTTTAAAAAACCTGCTAGCAAACTAAGAAAGAAATCCCTTAGTTAAATAAAGGGTAGCTAGCTATAAAAACCTTACAGTCAATATAAGCCTCATATAAATAGTGAAACGTTATGATACTAAGGCTTTACTTGTGAATCAGGACTGAGATAAGGATGCCCAGAAACTTCAATTTGACATTATACTGGATATTCTAACCAGAGAAATAAAACAAGAAAAAGGAAAAAGTTTAGGGATTAAAAATGAAGAAACAAAACTGCCATCATTCAGCAACAGGACTGATTGTGTATGCAGAAAATCCCGAAGTCTTTACAGATTAATTTTTAAAATGAATAAGCAGGTTTAAAACTTACTGGATATGTGAACAGTTTGCAAAAAGCAGTTGCTTTTTTGTTTTTTTGAGACAGAGTGTTACTCTGTCACCTAGGCTGGAGTGCAGTGGCGTGATACCTGATCACTACAACCTCCGCCTTCCAAGCAATTCTCCTGTCTCAGCCTCTCAAGTATCTGGGATTACAGGTGCCCACCACCACACCTGGTTATTTTTTGTATTTTTATTAGAGATGGGGTTGCATAATGTTGGTCAGGCTGGTCTTGAACTCCTGACTTCAAGTGATCCACCCACCTCATCCTCCCAAAGTGCTAGAATTACAGGTGTGAACCACTGCATCCAGGCAAAAATCAATTTTTTTTAAAAATAATTGCATTTTAAAATAAAACCACAATGCAATATCATTACATGTCCACTACAATAGCTAAAATGGAAAGGAAAGTATCCAGTATTGCCAAGGATGTGGATGGAGCTCTGAGAATTTTTTTACACTCATAAATTGCTGGTGGGAGTGTAAACTGATGCAATCACTTGAGAAATTGGCCAAGCCCTCGTGGCCTAGTGGGCAGTATCTACTAAAACTGAGCATGTGCCCATCATGTGACCCAGCCATTCCACTCCTCAGTAGTTACCCAACAGAAATGTGTATATGTGTTCTTTGAAATACACGTATACAAATGTTCATAGTGGCACCATTCAAAATAGTCCCAAACTGGAAACAATCTCAATGTGCAACTGTAGAACGGATAAATAAGTCCTGGCGTATTCAAATAATGGAAAAGCAATAAAACATGAAAACGCACAAACCACACAACCATAATGAATTTCAGAAACATAACAATGAGTGAAGGAATCCAGGCATAAGAGTATATGCTGTGTGATTCAATTGATGTAAACTCCAAAAACAGATGAAACTAATGGATGTTGTTAGAAGTCAGGATAGTGTTTAACTCTGGGGACAATGGCAGGATTGGTGGCCAAGAGGGGACATGAGGTGGCTTCTGCTAGTCCTTGCTGTGCAGGTGTGTTCAGTATGTGATAATTCAATGATATGGCCTCCTTTGTACCCTCTTGTAGGTGAGTGTGTGTACCAGTGCCCCATGCATAAGTCAAAAATACATTGGGAGAAGATAGTAATTATACAAACGGACTTTCTGGGGTTTGGGCAATGTTCTATTTCTTGATCTGCGTGCAGGAAACCAAGGTGTGTTCAATTTGTGGAATTTCATTGAGCTGTATGTATGCTTAGGATGAGTGCACTTTTTTGCATGTAGGTTACCCTTCAATGTAGAGTTTAAAAAAATGCATTCAAACAATCCACATTTTAGAAGGATACACAAATCAGGAGAGACAATAAGAATATCAGAATGGTTATTCATGGGCAAGGGAGTGGGCCATGGAGACTCAGCTATGGAGAAGGTCCAAAGCCCTCGTGGCCTGGTGTCCAGCTCTCCCCCAGGTCTGGCTGCCATCACTTGCCTCTATTCCTGCCACCTGCACTGTGCCTGCCACATTCACCAGTTCCCCCTCCCCAGGTACCTTGCAGCAGTTCCAGCAATCCTGCATGTTGATCCAGTAGTTCCTGTGGTTCCAGAGGCTTTCAATGCCCAGGAAGTGTTCATCCTGGGTGCTGTAGCTGCGTGCTGTGAATGGGTCGATGAAGAAGTTCTCAGGCACCTCGCGCTTCCCTGACAACACGAGGACCCAGGAGTGCACCCGCAGGCCGTGCAGGGCATCCGGGTTTGCTTTTTCCGCTTCCTGCCCAGGAAAGGTGGGTGACTATGAGTCAGATGACTGGAAGAGGGACATCAGGGGCCCAGACATCTCCCTGGGGCTGGGGAACCAGCAGGAGATCTGAGTTCTGATGCAGACTGCACCATCAGCCGGAGTGTGACCACCCACCTCGCCTCCCATCACCCCACCGCTGAGCCCATTTGTAAAATCAATACAATGAAAGAGTCTGACTGGATCTGTGGTTTACAAATTGGACTCTTCAGGGCACTGGGCATCTGGGGTTTACTGGATTTATATGTTGTGACTCTGGGTGAGGTCTCATTCACAGAAAGAAAATGGGAGACCAAGTGGCTTCCTTATCTGCCTCCCTCTGAGAGAACTGTGATTGTCTTCTTGTTCATCATTGTGTATAAATAGGTCTGGACCAGAAGAGAAGCTCAAGGAATATTCTATGGAAGGAAAGGAAAGAAGGGAGGGGGGAAAGATGATTAGAAGAATAGGAGTGTGGATGTTGGAAGAAGAGATGGGAGGATGCATGGGAAATTGGATACCAGGATGAATGAGAGGAGTGACGGCAAGATGGATGGATAGGAGGATGGATGGGAGGATGGGTGGGAGGATGGATGGGTGGGAGGATGGATGGATGGGAGGATAGACAGATGGGAGGGTGGGTGGGAGGAGAGATCAGAGGATGGATGGGAGGTGGATGGGTGGAGGATGGGTGGATAGGAGGATGGGTGGATGGGAGGATGGGTGGATGGGACGATGGGCGGATGGGAGGATGGGTGGGAGGATGGATGGATGGGAGGTGGATGGATGGAGGATGGGTGGATAGGAGGATAGGTGGATGGGAGGATGGGTGGGAGGATGGATGGATGGGAGGATGGGCAGATGGGAGGATGGGTGGGAGGATGGACGGATGGGAGGTTGGATGGATGGAGGATGGGCGGATGGGAGGATGGGTGGGAGGATGGACGGATAGGAGGATGAATGGATGGGAGGACAGGTAGAAGAATGGATAGATGGGAGGAGGGATGGATGGGAGGAGGGGTGGACGGGAGGATGGGTGGAAGGATGGATGGATGGAAGGATAGACAGATGGGAGGATGGATGGATGAGAGGATGGGAAGATGGATAGGAGGATGACTAGATGGGAGGATGTATGCAAGTATGTCCCCAGTAAGAGTCTACAGCAAAGAGGACACCAGTGCTGCCCTACATAGAATGGGCTGCCCCAGGCAGTACTGTGTCCTGATGTTCAGAGTCTATCATGAGAAGCTGGCTGACCACCAGTGGGAGATTCCTGCAGGGCTGGGTAGAGGTTGGGGGTGGTTGTGAGGCGGACCTAGTTGGGGGATCCATACACACATCCCTTCCATGACCTGTGCCTCTTTTCCCATCCCTGGTAGTCCCTTCTCAATAGCTGAGCCCAGGGGGTTGAGGGCTGAGGACCCACCATGCGGCGCTCCTCCTCCTCCTTCAGCCGCTTCTCCTCCTGGGCTCTGATCTCCTGCTGCCTTTTCATCTCTTGCTCCTGTTCAAACCTGCTGCACAGGTCCCTGGGGGGTCTGATGGTATACTTCTTAGGTAGCACCTTTTCCTCCCTCTTGATGGTCTGTCACCCCCAAAAAAGAGGAAGGGTCAGTGGCCCTGCATCCGCCCATCACACGAGCCGCTCCAAGAGGTAAGACCCGCCCAGCCAGTCCCTTGGACCGGGGAATGGCAGCTACTCCTGTAGCCTGCGGCCTTTCTGGCCCTAAATGCAGAGGGAGCCCCAGCTCCAGCTCCGTGACCTTGGGAGGCCCTTTCACCTCTCTGAATCTTGGGTTCATGGTGTGAGAATAATGGGAACTTTCTCCCCAGCCTCTTTCTGAAAAGTAAAGACAGAAAAAATGCCCAAGGGAGGTACCTGTGGGGCAGGAGCTCAGGAGGTGTGACTTTCTCCTCTTCCTTCCTCACCACCCACTCTAGCCATGACTTGGGTGTGATCCAAAAGTGGGGAGAATTGTCAGGAGTTGGAGGTTTCAGATCTTGTCATTGGAGGACCTCATATGTTGACTTAAAGTAAGAGTTTGCTGGGCCAGGAAGGAGAAGAAACTGTGTGTGTATGTGTGTACACCTGCACGTGTACAAATGTGTGCTAGATGGCAAGAAGTATTCCCAGGAAACAGCACTGCAGAGGCTGCAGAAGTGGGCCTGTGACCATCATGAAGGAGAAATAGTGAATCTCCAGGGTTTAACGTTCACCTGACCCAGGCTTCAGTCCCTGAGTCTCCATTTTCCCACTGTGTGACTTTGGCCACATTACATTACCTTTCAATTTCATCAACATACTCACCTATAAAAGTGGCAATACCTACCACACTGGGCCATCATGGGGAGCAACGAGCACAATGGACATGAAAGTGGATTTTAAACCCGAAAGTTCTCTGCATCTTTTTGTTACTGATATAATGTTGATCATTAAGCATTTGGCTGAGCTGAGAGAGCTGAGGTGCCCATGTGGGAGCTTGGAGGCTTTTGTTTTTTTGCAGACAGAGTATTGCTCTGTCGCCCAGGCTGGAGTGTGATGGTGTGATCTCAGCTCACTGCAACCTCCACCTCCCAGATTCAAGCAATTCTCCTGCCTCAGCCTCCCAAGTAGTTGGGATTACAGGCATGCACCACCATGCCCAGCTAATTTTTGTATTTTTAGTACAGATGGGGTTTTGCCATGTTGGCCAGGCTGGTCTCAAACTCCTGGGCTCAAGTGGTTCACCTGCCTCAGCCTCCCAAAGCCCTGGGATTACAGATGTGAGCCACCGTGCCAGCCCGAGGCTTTTGAAGCTAAAACCCATGATGGAGCTTGTGCTCTACCTTCTCTTGGGGAGGTGGGCCTGAGAGAGCAAGGCTCTCCTTGTACCTCCCCTGCTGTCTCACCTTCTCCCACCAGAGCACCCACCCTAGGGTCCCCAGGTGCTCACCCAGGTGTAATGCAGGTGCACAGTGATCCTGCTGGGTGCCTCAGACCCCTGGCTTCCTATCCCTGAGCTGCAGATACCCAAGGGAGCCTGACTCTGATCCCAGAGTCCTGGAATTAGTCCACCTCATGAAGAGCATTTTGTCTGTAGTATGACTATTTTCTAAATGTAAAGAGATGCTTTTGTGATTCTGATGATTAAAATTCATTTCGGACTGTTTCTTGTGTCTATAGCAGCTTCTGGTCCTATGGAGTTTTTAATGAGCAGATCTAAAAACACAGCCACCAGCTACCGAAAGGTTGGTGCGGTTTTGGGGTTTTTTTGTTGTTGTTTTTTGTTGTTTTTGCTGTTAAAAAGGGGCCTTGAGGGCCAGGCACCGTGGCTCATGCCTATAATCCCAGCACTTTGGAAGCTGAGGTGGGAGGATTGCTTGAGTCCAGAAGTTTGAGACCAGCCTGGAAAACATAGTGAGAACCTCGTCTCTACAACAAACAAACTTGGTTGGACGTGGTGGCACATGCCTGTAGTCCCAGCTACCTGGGAGGCTGAGGCGGGAGGACTGGTTGAGTCCAGGAGGTCGAGGTTGCAGTGGGCTAAGATCATGCCACAGCTTGGGTGACAGAGCAGGAGAGACCCTGTGCCCCCCAAAAAAAGCAGAGTTGGGGGAGCTTTTTACCTTGGGAGTGTGGGACTGAGAACCAAATGTCTGTCCACTTGTCTGGTTTTTTTTCTTTCTTTTTTTTTTTTTTGAGACAGAGTCTTGCTCTGTTGCCCAGGCTGGAGTGCAGTGGCATGATATCAGCTCACTGCAGCCTTTGCCTCCTGGGTTCAAGCAATTCTCCTGCCTCAGTCTCCTGAGTAACTGGGACTACAGGCACACGCCACCATGCCCAGCTAATTGTTTTGTATTTTTGATAGAGACAGGGGTTTTGCCATCTTGGCCAGACTGGTCTTCAACTCCCGACCTCAAGTGATTCGCCCGCCTCAGACTCCCAAAGTGCTAAGATTACAGGCATAAGCCACCATGCGCAGCCTATTTTCTTAAATAAAAATGGCTGGCTGGATTTTTATCAAATGCATATGGTAAATTTGGAATTGTTTGACTTAAGATATAAGCTATGTGGCATTTGTGAAATTTACCAAGCGGGGAGGACAGTAGCTGAAACTGAGTTACAACAGACAGACAAGAACAGCCAGCTTAGAAACAGGGCTGGATGTGTCAAGACACCGAGGACAGATACATCGTCGGTGGTTTGAAATACAAACTCCAGGGCAGTGGAAGGGCTGGTGGTCAGGGATCTGTGTCCACATGGCCAGGGCCAGGAATGAGGCGGCAGGGAGGGACGTCTCTAAGGATGGTATGACAGCACCGGGAACGTGCATTGTGCATACTTTGGGAAACCCGGGCAGCTCAAGCCCGGCCATACCTCCTTGGGCTTCACGGTGAGTGGACACACCTCCCGCGTCAGGTCCATGTGGCACAGGTCCTGCGAGCCGTAGCCGTTGACACAGTAGGCGTCATAGCCGGAGCCGATGAGCATGGAGCAGAGCAGCGTGCTGAAGTCAAAGCAGTTCCCCTTCTGGTACTTGAGCACGGTGGTCGAGGAGTACAGGTGTGAGGGCTGGTCACAGCGGGACAGTCAGCACAGCCGGGACCCCGATGCCCCAGCCTGTCCTCCCCACCGGTCACAGCCCACCACCTGTCAGGGCGGGGGGGCAGGGCCAATCCGCAGGCTGGGTCTGCTTCGGGCCCCTAACCCTTGTGGGGTCAGGGAGACTGCTAAGAAAGGAATGACAACAACCAGATGCCATGCAATTCACCTGGGCCTATTATTTGAAGGGGCTATAGACTTCCTGATAGGGAAAACCTGGACTGCAGAAGTATCTGGTCTAATGAGCTCTGATTGGTGCATTTACTGGTTTTCTCCAATGTTCCCCTTTCCTCCTCTCCCCTCTTTCTTTCCCCCTTTATCAATTCTCCACTGTTGACCTCGTCCTTTCTTCCTCCCTCCCTCTGTTCTGAAGGAGAAGCTGACAGAGTTGGTCAGAAGCCCAAAGATGAGGTTAGGGCCATGGGCAACCGGGCCCTGCCCTCTCTCTCTTTCCTGCACCACTTGAAGTCATGGCAGGGAAGCTCTGAATGCAAGGGAGAAAAGAGGTGGGAACCAGAAGTCCAGACTTGCTGTGTGTCCTCAGGCAAGTGGCTGTCTCTCTCTGGGCCTGTTTCCCCGTAGGGGCCTTGAGAGGCTGTGGCCTGAGCCTGGCTGAAGTTCCTTTTCCCAGACCATGCCTGGCTTCCCACTGAAGGGAATAATGTACGCAGTGGTCCATTTCCAAGACAAAGTGCCTTGAATTGGCTTAGGTTAGCAAACTACAAAACAAAACATAATATCCTAGCCCCCTGCTTGGATAGCCAACATCTGCTTGCTGGCCTCCTCCTTCCTCCCCATTCCCTACTGCGTTAGTTGCTCTCACCCAAACCAAAAAAGTTTAGTCTAAGATAAAAGTTTACTAGTCTGCAAAATAGCTCGCTTTGTCTGTTCTTATCAGCCTGCCCAGCTACATAGATCATAAGTCAAATACTTATAGAGCCCCTGAGCGACTAGGATTGCAATGCATTGTGGGATGCAACAAAATGCAGCAAGACAACCCTAAAGAAAACACCTAAAGCCCCTACCCAACAACCAATAGGCGATGTCTGGGAAGTTGTGACCCCACAGTACTCAGCCTATGAGGGACCGGGGGAGGGACTTGGGCACTAGGGGATAAATTGTTTAAAACTGTGCTGGGTGTGCCTGCACATCAGACACCTGATCTTGTGAGACCATCATTAAAAGTCTCACTTTCACTGTTCTCCAGGTCTTTAAGTCCATTCCTTTTTTTTTTTTCTTTCTTTGAGACAAAGTCTTACTCTGTCCCCTAGACTGGAGTGTAGTAGCGTGATCTCAGCTCACTGCAACCTCCGCCTCCTGGGTTTAAGTGGTTCTCCTGCCTCAGCCTCCCAAGTAGCAGGGACCCGCCACCACGCCCAGCTAATTTTTGTATTTTTAGTAAAGATGGGGTTTCACCATGTTGGCAAGGCTGGTCTCAAACTCCTGACCTCGTGATATGCCCACCTCAGCCTCCTGAAGTGCTGGGATTACAGGCATGAGCCACGGCGCCCGGCCTTTAAGTCCATTCTTTGGGTTTGGACGGATGAGTTTGTTTCTCCCACCATCTTAGGTCTGGTGGGCTCAAGCATCCAGCCTGTGAGTGGCACTTACCGGCTTGAGGGGGTCAGGCAGGGGCACCATGGTGAGGAAGTCAGAGACAAACTGGGCACAGCTGTCCCAGTTGTAGAGCTCAGGGTAGGGCATCAGTGTGGGCCGGAGGGTTGTGCTTACGAACTTCTGCAAGGAGAGAGATGGTGCCAGTGAGGTCAAGGCAATAGGAACCTGTGAGATCCAATGCCTGGTTGGGACTTTCCCTGAATCCACAGGGGGACCCTTGAAGCTCCAGCCAATGCAGGAAACCAGGCCGGCATACCCTGGGGTGGCAGAGCAGCCCTTCGTCGGGAAGATGATGCCCAGATCTGGTGCATGGCAGCCATCAATGGCGCAGTGGCAATGCCTGGGAGGCCCCCATCATGACACCGGCACCCGGTGATGGCACAAGCATATTCTGAATCCAGACTTTGATGGGCTTTGAAGTTTTGTTGCCTTCAACCCATAGTGCACCATGGAGACAGCTGAGGCCCAGAGAGGGCTTGAGAGCTGCCTGAGGTGACTGAGCAAGTCAGGGCTGAATGAGGAGATGAGGTCTGTTTCCTGGGGTTCCTGGGAGCACTATGCTCTCCTCCTAGGAGTGATGCTCTCCCTGGGGCCTATAGAGGTTCTGACCTGGGGCCAGCTGATGGCCAAGTACAGTCTGCAGCCCCAGAGGTCAGCCTATCCAAGGAAGGGCAGAGAAATAAGACAAAGTGGACCAGGACAGGCATAAGAACCTAAGTTCTGGGATCCTCCTTCCAGCCCTGTGACCCAGGTCATGTCTCGGAGGCTCTCTGGGCCTCCGTTTCTCCATCTGTAGATGGAATGGCATGGAATTCATTCAGGGGGCTTGAAACGGCTGCCCATGACTGAGGGACCCTCAGACCTGCTTTATTTGGCCCACGTGGCGATGGTTAGCATTTATATCAGCTGCCAGCATTTAAAAGCCAGAAACTAAAAACCCTAGAAGAAAACCTAGGCAAAACCATTCAGGACGGAGGCATAGGTAAGGACTTCATGACTAAAACACCAAAAGCATTGGCAACAAAAGACAAAATAGACAAATGGGACTTAATTAAACTCCAGAGCTTCTGTACAGCAAAAGAAACAGTCATTAGAGTGAACCAGCACCAAACAGAATGGGAAAAAATTTTTGCAATCTACCATCTGACAAAGGACTAATATCCAGAATCTATAAAGAACTAAAACAGATTTACAAGAAACAAACAAACAAACCCATTCAAAAGTGGGCGAAGGATATGAACAGACACTTTTCAAAAGAAGACATATATGAGGCCAACAAACATATGAAAAAATGCTCATCGTCACTGGTCATCAGAGAAATGCAAATCAAAACCACATTGAGATACCACCTCACACCAGTTAGAATGGCGATCATTAAAAACTCTGGAGACAACAGATGCTGGAGAGGATATGGAGAAATAGGAACACTTTTACACTGTTGGTGGGAGCGTAAATTTGTTCAACCATTGTGGAAGACAGTGTGGCGATTCCTCAAGGATCTAGAAATAGAAATTCCATTTAACCCAGCAATCCCATTACTGGGTATATATCCAAAGGATTATAAATCGTTCTATTATAAAGACACATGCACACGTGTGTTCACTGCAGCACGGTTTACAATAGCAAAGACCTGGAACCAACCCAAATGCCCATCGATGATAGACTGGACAAGGAAAATGTGGTACATATACACCATGGAATACTATGCAGTGATAAAAAATGATGAGTTCATGTCCTTTGTAGGGACATGGATGAACCTGGAAACCATCATTCTCAGCAAACTGACAGAAGAGCAGAAGATCAAACACCGCATGTTCTCACTTATAGGCAGGTGTTGAACAATGAGAACACATGGACACAGGGAGGGGAGCATCACACATTGGGGTCTGTTGGGGGTACCAAGGGAGGGACAGTGGGGGTGGGGAGGTCAGGGAGCAATAACATGGGGAGAAATGCCAGATGTAGGTGACGGGGGGATGGAGGCAGCAAACCACATTGCCATGTGTGTACCTATGCAACAATCCTGCATGATCTACACATGTACCCCAGAACCTAAAGTGCAATAAAAAATAAAATAAAATAATAAAAGCCAGAGACTCCCACACAAATCCCAAGTCTCCTCTCATCTTGACCGAGTCCCACGTAGCTGGGACTTAGGTGCCACCACACCTGGCTAATTTTTGTATTTTTTTGTAGAGAGAGGGGATCTCGCTATGTTGCCAGGCTGATCTCGAACTCCTGGCCTCAAGTGATCCTCCCAACTCTTCCTTCTAAAGTGCTGGGAGTACAGATGTGAGCTATGGTGCCTCGCCAGCATCTCCAGGCCTGCATTTTCCCTGCAGCAATCAGAACCTGCCTCTTTGGGTGGGGCATGGGGTCTCCAGGCCACCACCGCCCTCCAGGGTCATCTGCACTGAGCCAGCTGGGGCCTGCTGGTGTTTGAGTTTATGTCGCCCCCAACTAGAAATTCTCTGGCCCACAGGAGGTCTGTGATTTGGCTCAGTGACCTTGGAGATCCTGCCCCACTTCCCTGTGCCCTCTTGCTCTTCAACCCCCAGGCCCCCAGCCCTGCCCTCCACGTGCCAGCCTTACGGGCACTTCACACTCATTCAGAGGGTGTAGGAAGAGGGGCACGCGGTCCGGGCACAGGTGGCTGTACTGGCGGGAGAAGTTGTCTGCCAGCTGCAGGAGCTGTTCCTCCTTGGGCGTGTTGGTTTTGTAGGAAACTGGCAACATGGAGATGTCAATGATGTCCTTGGTAAAGGCCCTGTGGTACAACAGGGATGGCATTAGGGAAGCCATGCCTGGCACGCAGGAGCCCTGGGTCCACTGAGTTGCCACTGGTTCTACCCCTTTCTTGTTTAATCCTCACAGCTACTGAGGAGCAGGTATCATGAACATCTACACTTTTATTTATGTATGTTTAAGAGACAGGGTCTTGCTCTGTTGCCCCAGCTGGAGTGCGATGGCACAATCATGGCTCCCTGTGAACTCCTGGCTCATGTGATCCTCACACGTGAGTTTCCCATGTGGCTGAGACTATAGGCACCACCGCACCTGGCTAATTTTTGTATTTTTTATAGAGATAGGGGATCTCCCTATGTTGCCCAGCTGGTCTCAAACTCCTGGCCTCAAGTGATCCTCCCACATCTTCCTTCTAAAGCGCTGGGACTATAGACATGAGCCACAGCACACGGCTAGCATCTGCACTTTTAGATGGATAAAGGCACTGAGGCACGGAAAGGCTGAGTGACTTGCCCAAGGTCACACAGCTACTGGGGGGAGTGTGGACACCTGGCCCAGGCCATTTGAAAGCAGAAAGCCTTCACTGTTAACTGCCTCACTCTAGCCCCTGGTCTCCCCCATCAGACCAGGCGCCACCACACTGCCTGGGTCCTCCTGTGCCCATCCCCAGTCTGCCCTTTTCAGGGCCCCTACCCTGCCACACTCACGGAAGCTCCGCTGAGACGGGGATCCGGATCTCCGACAGCTTCTTCTCCAGGTCTCTGAGCGTCTCCTGCGTCAAGGTGGTTTCCTCCTTCCGCACCTCGACTGGCCTCATCATTTTCTCGGTCCTCGCCCATTCAGCCCGCTCGGCCGCCTCCTCCCGCTCGGCCGCCTCCTCCTCCTCCACCTTCTCCCTCAGGACCTCCATTCTGGAGCGTCTCTGGCTGTCTAGAGATGGAGTGTCTCTGTGGGGAAGGGTAAGTATACTCCATGGCCGACTGTCGGACCAGGCAGAAGCCACCAACACCACGGGACATCCCCAGGAGGCCTGGGAGACGGTTTGGGGCAGGTTTAGAGCACACAGGATGGGAGTGATTCCCTCTTTGACTTCCTTTCAAACATGGAGAAAGTCTCTGGTGCTATCCCGTCTATAACACGATCTAATCCTGGCAAATATTCCTTTACAACAAAGACAACACAGACCTCAGGCTGGGAGCCATCATCAAGTCAGGGCAGGGCATTTGACAATTTGCTTTTAGTACATTTGACAGTTATCTTTTTTTATTTTTTATTTTTTTGAGGCAGGGTTTCACTTTGTCATTCAGGCTTGGGGTGCAGTGGTGCAATCATGGCTCACTGCAGCTTCAAACTCCCAGGCTCAAGCAATCCTCCCACCTCAGCCTCCCTAGTAGCAGAGACCACAGGCACGCACCACCACACCTGGGTTTTTTTGTTTGTTTGTTTTTTTGGTAGAGACAGGGTCTGGCTATGTTGCCCAGGCTCAAACTCCTGGCCTTAAGTAATCTTCCTGCTTTGGTCTCCCAAAGTGCTGGGATTACAGGCCTGAGCCATTGTGTCAGCCGACAGTTATCTATGACAAGCACTGCCAATGCTGTGGGGAGTACTATAGTAGTGGTCAGTTTCCTATTCAAACAAATGGATTGGCTGGGCACGGTGGCTCACGCCTGTAATCCCAGCACTTTGGGAGACTGACAAGGATGAATCACTTGAGGTCAGGAGTTCGAGACCAGCCTGGCCAACGTGGTGAAACCTTGTCTCTACTAAAAATACAAAAATTAGCCAGGGGTGGTGGCAGGCACCTGTAATCCCAGCTACTCAGGAGGCAGACGCAGGAGAATCACTTGAACCTGGGAGGTGGAGGTTGCAGTGAGCCAAGATCATGCCACTGCCCTTCAGCCTGGGTGACAGAGTGAGACTCTTGTCTCAAATAAAAAATGAATAAATAGGTTGAAAGAAAATCCTAATATTAAGGTGATATGAACTATGACCCACCCAAAAATGAAGATGGCAGGTGAATGATATCTCACCCAACCAAACTGGAAACCGAGGCACAGAGTGCAAGGTACCTGCCACCAGGGCACATAAACAGGGAGTGGGGGGTGGGGGTGACAGAGCCTGCTGTCTTTTGGCCAAAGCCTGTGTCGGCCCAGAGGACAGGCTTCATTCTGTGATCCACGTAGAGATGCCACATGTGTTCACCATATGTCCTGCGGCCACAGAGCAGAGCCTCGCTGAGAGGGGACCGCTAGTCACCTACCCAAAGATCCAGTCTCCTCTCCTGTACAGCAGTGCCCCAGTTGCGTGGGGGGCAGCAGTGTGCCTGGTTTGAATTGCTCAGCCTCCCAGATTCTCTTGCAGCTAGGTGTGGCCCTGTGATGTGACCTGGTTCTGGCCAATGAGATGTGGGCAGAAGTTACTGGGGAGCCCTCTGGCCTTCTCCTCTTCCCACTTGGAACATGGAGATAAAGTGGGAAGTGGGGCGGCCAAGGTGAGACCATGAGGTGACCACACATGAGGGCCAAAGGTGCCTGCTAAAGATGGCAGGGCAGAGAGATGGGGGAGATGGGGGTCCCCAGAAGTGCCACAGAGGCCTGGAGTGCCACCTCTAGCCTTTCCTTTTATGAGAAACCTCAGCCTCTACAGGGATCCCTGTTCCACGCCACCCAATGCCACCCCAGCTGATCCACTATCTGCAGCCTCCCAGCTGGGATCTTTCCATATCTCCCCTGGAAAATCTGTTTTCCTTACAGCAAACGGGTCCAGAGAGGAGGAAAACAGATGGAACCCACAGGGCGAAGGGGGCGAGTACTGAGGAGAAAAAAGCAGAGTTCCCCCGGCTTTGTCATCACTCCCCACCCTGGGGTGAAGCCAGGAACAAGAGGGCAGAAGGGACCAATAAAGGCTGGCCCCAACTCCCCACTCCACACCCACCCGAGCCACCTCGGCCTCTTGGGGAGGTGAGTCACAGGCCAGCAGCCAGGACCGAGCCTGGCTGGGAACTCTGGCTTTGCCAATAGCTCCTGTTGGACTCTTGGGTCACTCTCTGCTCCTTTCTGTGCCTCAGTTTCTCTTTCTGCAATAGGAAGGGAGGGCAGATACTTTCTGTCCAGTTCTGACATTCTGTGCCCTGGGACTCAGAAGTGCACGAATGCTTCTCTGGTTGGAGCCACCCAAGGCCCAGGTGGGCCAACACCATTCAGGATCCCAGATGCCCAGGGGAGAGCCTCTAGCCGAGCAGCACTTCCCAGTCAGATCCATCTGTCAGCCTCTTGGGCCCAGAGGGAATGAGCCCAAGGAGGGCAGTAACCACCATTACAGGCACCTACAGTTGGCTGAACGCCTACTGTGTGCCCGGCCCTGTGCTGAGGGTTACAAGGAGATCATCTCACTTTTCCTCCACTGACTCTATGAGGCAGACACTTAGGACACCCACATTGCAGATGAGAAGACTAGGGCCCAGAGAGGGTAAGTGCACTGCCTAAGGTCACAGCTAGTAAGTGGTAGGGCTGGGATTTGAACCCCTGTATTTCCAGTTGTGAACCCTGTGTGTCTCAGGCTGGAAGAGATGTGAGATAGGGAAGGGCTAGAAGGGATGGTTGGGGTGGGGGAGTGGGGGGCAAGGGATAAGTAGGATCGAAGAGAAGGTCAAGGTGTCAGTCCCAGACCACCAGCAGAGGCAGAGCTGGGGAGAAGAACCCACAGCACGTTATTCCCTACACAGGCGGCCTCTTCAGCTACAGCCCAGTGTGGGGAAGGCAGTTTTGTCTGAAGGATTTGGCCCCAACCCACAGACCCTTCCCTGCACCCCTTCTCCACCAGCAACTTCCCCTTCCCCAACATATACACACACCCCAACAACTTCCCCCAGAAAGATCAGGGCAGGAAGTCCCCGGGCAGGAACTCCCCAGGCAGAAGGGGGCCACCAGCCTCCCCCCTCCCTGACAGGGTCCAGCCACCCCGAGTCCCTTGCTCCCTCCTCACCCCTCCAAGGACAGCCTGTGCTAGCTGTTAGCTGTCTCCATGGTAACAGCCTGGGAAGCTGAGGGCCGGTTCTCGGAGAGGAGGCTTCTGGGAAATGTAGTCTTCCAAGGTTGTGTGGTCCCTCTGCCAGTGGTGCGCTGGTATAGTGGGGCATCAACTCGTTAGCTGTTAAACTTTCTGAAATTTTTGTGAAACACAGCCATTATTAAAAATTAAAGGGACAGCCAGGCACAGTGGCTCATGCCTGTAATCCCAGCACTTTGGGAGGCTGAGGCGGGTGGATCACAAGGTCAGGAATTCAAGACTAGCCTGGCCAATATGGTGAATCCCCGTCTCTACTAAAAATACAAAAATTAGCCGGGCGTGGTGGCATGCACCTGTAGTCCCAGCTATTCAGAGGCTGAGGCAGGAGAATTGCTTGAACCCAGGAGGCGGAGTTTGCAGTGAGCCAAGATCATGCCATTGCACTCCAACCTGGGTGACAGAGTGAGACTCTGTCTCAAAAAAAAAAAAAAAAAAATTAAAGAAGCTGGGCACAGTGGCTCACACTTGAAATCCCAGCAGTTTGGGAATCCAAGGCAGGAGAATCCTTTGAGCCTATGAGTTCAAAACCAGCCTGGGCAATATAGTGAGACCCTCCCTAGAAAAAAAAAAAAAAACCAAGTGGCCGTAGAGTTATTTACAACACAAAAATTAGCAAATGCCACAGACCAGGGCTTTTTTCCCCAGCCAGCCAGTTGTTAAACATTTACGAACACGCCACAGCCCCTGCCCACAGCATGCCGAATATGGCCTTGATCGAAACAGACAGAAACCAGTGTAGGGCCAGAAGTGGCTGCCAGCTGCAGTGGACAGAGCCAGGCTGCCTTGACTGAGTCCTGGGTTCTAGTCCAGGCTGGGGATCTGATTTAGTACATTACCTCGAAGTATGGGGAAAGCCTATCCATTAGGCTAGCGGCTCATGAAAATGTGTAATTTCTTTTAAATTCGAAGAAGAAAATGAGAATAATAATGACTATATAACTATGAATCTGCCCTGAATTATATTTGTGTTTATACCAATACGGTACAATATATTGTACCAAAATATTGTTTGTACCGATATTTAGGACCAATACGGTCCTAAAATATAATTTTTACTGTTTTATTTTTTGAGGGAGGGGTGCATGGGCCCTTTTTAGTCAGGGGATAGGGCTGCCAGGCTGGAATCCAGACTGTCACCATCCTGACGAGCGTGCACAGTTAGTGTTACTGCTAGAAGCTTAGGAATTGCCTCAGTTCTCGTGAATGATTTTCCCCCTCCCAGTTGGAATATCATGCAGCCATAAAAATAAGATGTAAAAGATCAATTGCACTGGGGAGAGCTCAGGAGATGCTGTGTGCATTTCAGTCTTGGTGCTAAGCAACCCATGATTACCTTGGTGGGGAACTGGCTGGGATGATGGCAGGAAGGGAAGAGGGAGAAGAAAGGAAAACAGGTAATGTGTTATGCTGACGGGATGCAGCATAGGCTTCATTTTCCTTTTTCAATCCTAGGCAACATTTAATTCCTTTTACATAGTTATTCATTCCTTTTTCTCTCTATACCCGCACATTTCCCACCTCTATAAGGCAACCATTCTAATATGTATTTTTTATTCCAAAATGAATATTGTTTTGCATGCTGGTATTTTTAATATGTTTAATATGATATTGAACTAATATATCCCTCTGGCTCTTATGTTTGCATGAAGGCCTGTGTTTTTAAGATCTCTCCATGTTACCGTGTGGATTCACACTCACTACCTCTTTGTCCTTCCAGTGACGGGCACTGAGTGTCCAAGTGTTCTAGAGGGAGCCTTGAACGTCCCCAAGCATTAATAAAGTTGTTTAGGTTGTTGCTGGAAAAACTGAAAGATCAAAGAAATGCTAAACGTGCCCCAGCCCTGAACCAAATTCCTTAAACCCTCATATAAACTTTATAACTCCACCACCTCATTATGGACAGACACATCTCCCTTCTTGCTGTCCGTCATTTCCCTAACCAATGCTTTGGCTGGATACAGATCAACCCTGTGCTTTGTGCTTATTTCTTTGGAATTCCAACCTGCCCTATCTCGTGATGGTTTGGGGCCGTCTTGAGCGAACTCCCCAGCAAATGCTGGGTGGGCTAGACAGACCACTCAGATTTGCTACCAATTCTCTTCCACCACAGACAATGTTACACAGGTCCAGAAGGGTTTAGATCTGGAGGAATGTTTCTTTAAGATAAACACCAGGGACAAGGTTGCAGACTCAGTAGATGCACGTGTTTTTTTCCAGGCAGCTGAAGCAGTCTAGACTCTCCCTGGCTCCCATATTGTCCCTGCCCATTGGTACCATCTAGTTTTCTAATGCTTGTCAATTTAATAAGGATACAATGAGATCTCATTGTCATTTCAGTCAGCAGCTCCCTGATGACCAATGATTTTAAATGTGTCTTCACGAACTAATGTGTTAGTTTTAGGTATTTCCTCCTCTGAAAATGATGATGCCACCCTTGTCGTGTATTAATTCCCCCAAGTGTCCATGGGTCTGCCTCTGAGCACTCCGTTCTGTTCCACTGATCTCCTTTCTTATCCCTGAACAGACACCACGTTGCATTTACCACGCTGGCCTTGTAATATCTTTATGTCTAGAGGTCAAGTCTTCCTTCTATGCCCTTTTTTTTTTTTTTTTTTTTTTTTTTTTGATACAGGGTCTAGCTCTGTCACCCAGGCTAGAGTGCAGTGGTACAATCTTGACTCTCACTGCAACCCCCGCCTCTGGTGTGCCCTCTTTCATGAAGATTGACTTAGCTCTTTGAGGTCTACATACCTCCATGTCAATCTTAGAAGTTTTTGGAGAATCAAAAAAAGATAAAATCAATCAGAATATTTAATGTTTCTTTTCTTTTATTTTATTGTGAAGACAGGGTCTCGCTATGTTGCCCAGGCTGTTCTGAAACTCCTGGGCTCAAGCAATCCTCCTGCTTCAGCCTCCCAAAGTGCTGGGATTAGAAGTGTGAGCCACCATGCCCGCCCCAGAATCTTTATTGTCATTGCATTAAATTTATTAATTAATGAAGGATTGATACCTTTTAATGTTAAGTTGTCTCGCTGACAGCATGGGGCAAAGAAGTCTTGTTTCCTGTGTATTTATGATGTAATGAAAAAATACAAGGAAGGAAGACATTCGGGCAGAACCGAGAACCAGGCAGGGGCCATGGCAGAAGGGACCCTCTCCGTGCCCAGGACCTCATGAGACTATGGCTAAGGCAAAGCTCTGGCTTAGTCACATTCACTCTGGGCCAGGCAGGCCAGGCAGTGGGCATTCCTTGCAGGCACTGTCTCATTTATTCATTTCCTTCATCACCTTGTGGGGCAGCTACTGACATTTCTGTTTTACAGGCTCAGTAGGTGAAGAATTTACCCAAGACAAGTTGCAAAGGCAGAATCTGAAACTGGTGAACTGAGGCCAGGGTCTGCGCTCCCACCTGTGATGATGGCCCATCACCTAGGTTGCTACTGTCGCTGTGCAATGGCGGAGGAACTCCATCCATCCGCTCTGGGCTTTGGGGTGTATTCTCACCGTAGACCCCTTGGCCTTATGGGTGCTCAGCCTGGCACTTGGAGTGCTTCTGCAGGAACCCCGGCAAAAGGTGATAAGGGCCTCCAGTCCCTTGCCCCCTGACTAGCCCCAGGGTGGAGAGCCAGCCAGAAAAGCAGTACATCCCCAGTGCTAGCCACACCTCCTTATCTGCCCTCTCCATCTGAGCCAGGAAGCTCAGCCATCAGGGCTTGCGGTCTTGTTGGTCCCACATCCCACGGAGAAGTTTGGGAAACTCTGCAACCCGGGATTTCCCTTGAGACTGGAGGTTGGGACCACATGATAATTCTCCTTTTTCCTTCTTGTTCTTCCTCCTTTTCCTCCTCTCCTCCTCTCCCCTCCTCCTCTCCCCTCCTCCTCTCCCCTCCTCCTCTTCCCCTTCCTCCTCCCTCCTCTTCCTCCTCTCCTTCCTCCTTCTCCTCCTCCTCCCCCCCTTCTCCTTCCCTCCTTCTCCTCTTCCTCTTTCTCCTCTTTCTTCTCCTCCTCCTTTTCCTCCTCCTCCTCCTCCTCCTTTTTTTGGAAACATGGTCTCAATTTGTCACCCAGGAGTTCAGTTGAATCGTCACAGCCCACTGCAGTCTTGAACTATTGGGCTCCAGTGGTCTTCCTGCTTCCTCCTCCAAGTAGCTACCATGCCTAGATACTTTTTTACAATTATTTTTTGGAGATGGGGGGTCTCGCTGTGTTGCCCAAGTTGATCTTGAGCCCCTGGGCTCAAGCAATCCTGTTGCCTCAGCCTCCCGAAGTGCTAGGACTACAGGTGTGAGCCACCAAGCATAGTCAAGGACCAGGTGATAATCCTTAAACTCAGGGACTGCTCTGGGAGGAGGAATTGGCAACCCAGGGAGGCCTGGCCCCGGCTTCAGCCCAGCCCATGGAGTGACCTTAGCTGGGCAGGTGGTGGGGCCTGTCGGGGCCTCCGCTTCCTCATGCCATTACCCTTGGCTGGTCTTTCTTTAAATCAAGGGGGGGCTCGGGGAGCTGACTAACTCCTGCTGAGTTCAGTGCTGGGCACTTTATTTCTGTCACTTCATTTAATGCTGTCAGGATGAGGTGAGGACTTTATAATTCCCATTTTATAGATGGGGAAACTAAGGCTCAGAGAGGTGATGTGACATGCCCAGGATCACACAGCTCTTAAGTAGCCGAGCCAGGAGTTAAGCCCATACCCATCAGATGGTGGAGCAGCCATTTCTCAGGTTACTCACCCTGAGACTTTGAGATAAGGGAGTCAAGACCTTCCGCGTGGGAAACAGATGTCTGCGAAGATAAGCCCCAAAACACACCAAGTTTGTCTACCAGAACTGCTTCTGTGGCTCAACTGATGCAATGTCGACACCCTAGATTTCCCTTCCAGGGACACAGCGACTTGCATAAAGCGAGGGCCGCCTTCCTGCCTTTCAGCTGCTTGCGGGCTGGGAGGGAAGCGAAGTGCGTCCACGTGCGGTCAGCATTAGCACTGGCACCTGGACAGGGAGGTGGGCTGCAGCCTGCAGCTTCAGGGGCTATTGGGGGAGGCCTAATAGTGGCAATAACTTCTCACCAGCAGACAGGGCTTGATGGTCCGCAGAGCTCCCTGGAGGGGCTTGGGGGCCGGGTAGGGAGGATGGTTGGTGAGTTGTGGTTAGAGTGAGGGATGGACTTGTGCAGTGCGGCTCCAGGGAGGCGGATGATGTCAACACGCACCACTCCCCATGTGTAGGGGGTCGCTGGAGCTGGGGTGGGGCCGCCATCTCTGCACCTCTCTGCCCCCATTCTCCCTTAGTGTCGGCCTGTCTCTTAAGTCTCTCTCTCCATCTCTGTATCTCTACCCCCATTTCTGCTATCTCTGCCTCTTTTTGCTTCCTACTGAGAAACCTGCATGTGATTGTGACATGGAGGCCCAGCTGCCAGAAGCGCCCTACCCAACTTAGGTCTGGCCTGAGACACCCCCTTAGCTCAGGGCTCTGCCAGGCTGGTGCCAAACTCATACATCCACTCATTCAGCCAACAAGTATTTATTCAGGGTTTCCACAAGCCAAGCACTGTGCTTGGCCTGGGCTGGAACAGTGAGTGAGGCTGCCCAGGTCCTTGTTCTCTGGGAGCTCAGGTTCTAGCGGCAATGCCCAGCCCCTGCTCAGGGAGCCCTCAACCCCACCCTCATCCCTAGCCCCACAGGCTGAATGAATGGGAGCACCCCCAGGTATGCTAAGCCCTAGATCGGTTTGCCTTCTACCTCTATGATGACAGCAGGTCAGAGGTTGGGCCACCCACGTGGCAGAGTGGGGAGTGGAGGGTTTGCCCGAGGTAGCTCGCCCACTCAGTGTTCTCAGAAACGCAGTGTCCCTGGACACCTGCAGGGCTGCCAGCACCCTGAACATGCTGGGGTCTCTTCAAGAAGGGTGGGCTCTGATGGGCAGAGACCAGGGGCAGACTGGGTAGGGGGATCAACTCCTACCCACCAAAACTAACCCCCAGTACCTGAGGGCACGCTGGCCTCCTGAATGCCCCTCAAGGTTACAGGCATGCAGAGGCAGAGTTGTGGGAGGCCAGTGACAAGGAGGAGGAGGGGAGAGGCTGGGGGCTCCTTCCAGGGCTACACAAGCCACAGACTCTCTTCCCTTGCTGGGACCAGAAGGTAGGTGAGGGCTTTGCAATGAGGGCAGGGCATGGAGGTGACTGTCACTCTTTGCTGGCAGGGGGTCTCAGGACTACAGGAACTCTAGACCCCTGCAAACATGCTTACATGGACTCTCATGTGGACCTGTAGTTGGATCTGGATGGGACATCTGAAGCCACGTGGTCCAACCTGGTCCTCTCCTTCCCCAGCCACATTATACAGAGAAAGGAACTGGCCCAGAGGGAGGCGTGGGGCTGCCCGAGGTCACACAGCAAGTCAGAGCTGAGTCCAGATTGCAGGGCCGTGCCTTCCTATTCTTGAGACGCGGAGTGGGCTTGGTCTAGTCGTGCAGTAGAGGAGGAGACTGTGGTGCTCTGACTTGGGAGGTAGAGGACGGTGAACCAGCAGCAGATGAAGACACCTGTCAGGGAGGAGAGGCCTTGGTGAGCCTGGGGAGGGGTGGGCAGGGAGTGGGACAACCTGGGCTGGTGGCTGCTGAGAGGGAGGAGACTCACCGTAACTACTCAAGAACTACTGGAAAAGTCAGGCAAAAATGCAACCATTACACAATCACTTCAAAAATGAAATGAAAAAGAACCAAATAGAAATCTTGGAAATGAAAAACAGAGACCTTCAAAGAACATATCTACCTATACCTATTACAGAAAAGAAAGAGCAAAATTGAGGAATTTTCAGACATACAAAACAACCATCATTCCTTCTGTAATATAAAGGATTATTAAAGGAGGCACTCCAGCAAGAGGAAAAGGGAAAGTGTGGGGCACAAGAAATTATCGTTAAGTACAGAACATGACTTAGAAAAACTCTGTGTTTCAAGGAAATCTATAACCAAAACTCTATATACAAGAAAAATATTGAGAAGAGTTCAATGGGCAATTCAAGGTACCAAGGGCTCTGTTGTATTGGGGGGAAGGGAGAAAGGCAGAACTCAGACCCAGTGGAAATGAACTCAGTAGAGTGAAGCGTGCAGGCTTACATATTAAGGAAAGAATAGCGATGTCATCTATAGTTTCAAGGTGACTTTCTTCCCAACCATCAGCCCCTGGGATTCTCCAGGCATGGACTCATGATTCTCCAGCTGCAGACAGCTTCAGATGGCCATATGGTCATAATTTCTATGATTATTAATATAGTTCCTAGGTGTTGAAGACCTAGTGGTTCCCACATATGCGTTGCCATTGTTCATCATGCAATCTGTCAGGCCAGGTGTGATGGCTCATATCTGTAATCCCAGCACTTTTGGAGGTTGAGGCTAGTGGATCACCTGAGGTCAGGAGTTTGAGACCAGCCTGACCAATATGGCGAAACCCTGTTTCTACTGAAAATACAAAAATTAGCTGGGTGTAGTGGCATATGCCTGTAGTCCCAGCTACTAGGGAGGCTGAGACAGGAGACTTGCTTGAACCCAGGAGGTGAAGGTTACAGTGAGCCAAGATCATGCCACTGCACTGTAGCCTGGGTGACTGAGCAAGGCTCCATCTCAAATAAATAAACAAATACATCTGGTGAGATAAGTATGGGATTTTCCCAGTTTTGAGATGAATGAGGATGGGAGGAGCTGAGTGACTTGCTGGTGATGGATGGGGCTAGGATTTGGACCCAGGGTTGCCTAGTCCCAGTCACTAAGCCGCAGTCTCATGGGGCACTGGGAGCCAGCCCTGCTCTTGGGGGCTTGTACCCGCTGCATCTAGGAGGCCTGGGTTTCTAGTGACTCCTCTGGACGGGGTGAGTCTCGTCACTCCCATCTTGGCTGTTTCTCTCGCCCTCGGGCTGTGATGCCTCTCTGAGCTGTAGATGTAAGAAGCAAAGAGAACACATACAAACTACAACCCATGCACTGCTCTTACTCCTTTGCTGGGATCTCAGAGGAAGGGCCCTGTGGGGGCCGGTAACAAACATAGCAAGCATTTCCTTCCTTCCATAGATCCCTGGAGATCCCGTCGATGTCAGGCGGACATCAGATCCCATGACTCTGCCCTTCTGGTCACAGCTAATTGGACCAGAGATGGACAATAGACACCTGACTTGCCAGGTCATGTAGGGTTATGGCAGCCATGTTGGATAACCATTTGGGGTCATAGTAAAGGGTGAGTGGAGAGAGAATGAAGGAGTTTCCACGGACACTAGGTGAGAGACTCCATAGCTCCAGAAAAAAGATGGAGAACGTATCTGCTTTGGTTTGGATAGCTTTTTCTGATCCTGGTAGCAGCTCCCATGAGGGCAGCTGATATGTCTGGGATGTTCATTCCCTCCGAGTCTCATGTTGAATTGCGATTCCCGACATTGGAGGTGGGGCCTGGTGGGAGGTGCCTGGATCATGGGGGCGGGTCCTCATGAATGGCTTAGCACCGTCCCCTCGGTGATGGGTGAGCGGTGATGGGTGAGCGCTTGCTGGGAGTTCATGCAAGATCTCATCGTTTAAAACAGCACGGTGCCTCCCCACTCCCTTGCTCCCACTCTCGCCATGGCTCCCCTTTATCTTTTGCCATGATTGGAAGCTTCCTGAGGCCTCACCATGACACAAATGGACTAATACAGCAGCCACACTTTGCTGCCCTGGATCCTTGCTCTGAATATTTGAAATCAACATCCTTGCCTTGCGCTAGCCTGAGCAGAGTCCTGTGTCTTGCAAACCACCCTCTCCCCCACCTGCCAACACCTCCTGAGACAGACAACACAGCCCACCACCTCCCTGGCGCAGGAGCCTCACCTTGCAAGGAGTTGAAGAGTGCGAAGATGTAGACAGTGGAGAGGCCCAGGGGGGTGAGGATGACCAACCCCCACGTCACACCCACCAGGCTCGAGAGGCCCAGCAAGGTGAGCACCTTCTTCCGGTTCTGCCCCCGCTCCTTGACCGCTGTAACACTCGACAGGGTGAAGATCTTCCAGGTCACCAGGGCCAGGACCACCATGCCAAAGAGGAAGGTGATGAGGAAGTAGCCGTGGACGGTGATATAGAGGGCATACGTGGCCGTCCCATCACGGAACCAGCATCTGGAGGACAGGGGCAGTAGTAGTGGGACTGGGAGAGGTGCCTCTGGCCAGCAAGCCCAGGAAGTCGTCTGGCTGAGCTTTTCCATCTGTGAAGGTGCCTCTCCCATTTCCACCCATCAATCCCCATTCTCCCACTGCAGAGGGGCCATTATCAGGCTCCTGTCTGGTGTCTCTTTAATGCCAACGTGACCTCAAAGGCCTGTTTTGTTGGCACCATATGATGTACAAAAACTGAATTAGTGGCTGCCTTTAAAATCAGAAGATTTGATATAAACACCCAGATTTTCTGCTTCTTCTAGAAAACCATACAACTGGCAGCTCTGTGGATGCCCTCCTGAAGGACAGTAACTGGCCGCCCATTAGATGGGTCTGTGACTGCCAGTCCACTGCAGTCCCCACCTGGCCCAATGCCTGCACGTATGTGACCTCTCTGGCTCCTGGGACCCCTGCTTTTGAGGCCCTGGGGACAGGTCCAAGGCCTCGCCGGCTCCTCCTAGCACAGAGCCATAGGCCCAGTGGTAGGTGCCCCATGGACCCCAAGGTGGCAGTCTAGAAACTCAATTCCGCTCCATTGCCCCCTGCACTGCAGGGCAAAGTGCCTTAGAGAGCATGTTGATCCATTCCCCCATGCTGCAGATGAGGAGATTGAGGCTCTGGGAGAGACCCGGCCTGCCAAGGTCACATGCACAGCAGGCAGGGCAGAGCCCGGACTAGACCTAGGCTGCTGGGAATCACTGGGCAGGTGGTGGTCTGAACAAGGGCAGCTGGCTGGGCTGCAGTGGGGGCTGAAATCCAACACACCCTCCCCTCTCCATGCTGTGCACCCAGCATGCGGACGGGGTGACCTTCTTCACTTTGCCTTAAGCTGCCATATGGGCTGGTGTTGGCCAGGCTCGAGTAAGGCACCCTACCTCCTGGTCCAGTTCTCCCTCTCCTTTCTCAGGCTCCCTCTCTCATTTCACTTCCTCTCTCTCTGTCTCTCTCTCTCTCTCTCTCTCTCGGCTTCAGTCTACTCCTCTGTGCCATGAGCTGGCTGGATCTGAGGATTCTTCTGGTCTTGACATATGTGGTCTCTTTTCCTAGAAATCCCTCCTCTCCCCACCTCCCTCCAGCCCCAGTATGTGAAGCTGGGGAACTGGCATCACCCCGGCTCCCACAGCTGCCACTCACAGCTCCAGAGAGGTGCGGTTCTCCCTGTCTCGGATGGTGTAGAGGCCGTAGCTGTTGGCACTCCCAGTGCCGATGACCATCAGGGCAGGCAGGCCTGGGCACAAGGGGAAGTGGCATGGCATCACGGGGGCTCGCTGGCACGTCCTCCTCCACATCCCCTCCAGATGCCCATCCCTCCAGCTCTGGGAACCCCTCCTCTCTCTCTCCCCAGGGCTATTTCCCTCCGCACCCTTGGGGCCAGCCATCTATTCTGTCTGTCCAGGCAGCACCTACCCCAGCCCACCAGGCTCAGCTTCAGGAAGTAGTGCCCGAAGTAGGTGTTGAAGACCCTGACGGCGAGCAGGTAGAGGTGGAAGGCTTCCAGGCCCATCCAGGTGAAGACACAGAGCAGGAAGTAGTGGTAGACGGCCCCTCGGGCCCAGCAGGCGGTATCAGAGCCCTTCGAGCCACTCCCCACAGTGATCAAGAAGGCCAGATTCAGCAGGAACAGGCTGCCACTCAGGGCCACATGGATCTTAGGGGCATCTTCTGACTTGAACCTCTGCCGGGAAAGCCTGGAGCGAGAAATGAGAGGCCCCAAGGGGCCGCAGCTCCCATGGGAGCTCCCACGGGGCGCTCAGGCCTGTCCACCCCAACAGCCCATGGCTGTCCACCCCCAGCACCAGCTCCTGCCTGCTCAGGCAGCTTCCAGCCCTGCCGGCAGCCAGAGTGGGAGCGTCCTGAGGCTCAAGTCCGGGAGCCTCCCATAGCCACGGGGCTCTGTGTGTTCCGGATCCTGTCCACCTCATCCTTGATCAATGTCAGGCAGGAGGATAGGGAAAATGAGGCAGAAGAATAGCGAGGGGAATTAAAAGTTGGACAAGGGGCAGAATAAGTAAAAGCAGAAAACTGAAGCAAGGTGAAGGGGGTGGGTGAGCAAGAAGCATGATGAAAAGCAGAGGTTCAGCAAGCGAAACAAGAGTGATATAAAAAGGGGAATCCCACGGCCGGCAAGATCCGGACCAAACCACTAAGGGGCAGCTCTTCAGAAATGGGCATTTGCTTTAGAGAAAAAGTATCCTTCACATAGCCCCATATGATAATTAGCTACTTAAGGTTCATGCATATGGGCTGCATATCATGCACGTACTTAAAATTATGGGATGGAGGTGATGCATAAATGCACAAGGGCCCGAAGTAACTGAGCAACACATCTATCAATCAAAAGCCAGACACTGGCTAGAGATTAGGCAGCTTTGGGAAGAGAAGAAAAAACACACCTGGAACCACCCAAACTACACCAAGTGAGGCTGATCCCACTTTGCAGAGGTCAGCCCGCTCTCCTGCTCTGAGAGCGGAACACTGCGTGGAATACACTCATGTCGCTTTGCTTGGCTATCTGTGTGTGTCTCATCCAATTCTTTGTTCGGGGCGCCAAGAGCCTGGAACTGCGCAGCACCACCCGGTAACAGATGCATTAGCCCAACTGCATAACTTGCAATTCCCTGAATGCATGCTGATTTTGCAGGCCGCCCAGACTCTGCCAGGGCTCTTCTTGCTGCCCCCAATGCCTTTCCTCCCACCTTCTTTGCCTGACTCCTGTTCTTCTGCCTTTCAAACGCCCCTTGGATGTTTCCTTCTGGGGAGGCTGTCTCTGTGTGCCCCCTAGCTGAGCTGATTTGGACGTTTCTGCAGCATAGTGTAACTCCCCGTCCTCTCCCCCTTCGGGTCTCTCCTATGCGTGAATTCCAGGCCTAACAGTGGAGGGGCCGTGTATTCACTGGTGACGTGGATGGACAGGCAGGTGGATGCATGAAGCTGAAAATGCAGTGGAAGAGCAAGGCTCAGAGAAGGACGTAGTCTTGCGGGGCGTAGAGCAGGGCAGGGCAGGGGCTCCGACCCCAGGCTCCAGACTCGCTGCCCAGTGACTCACCAGGCTCACCTCCCTCTCTCTGGAGCCCCTTGCTCTGAATTCTTAGCAAACCAGATCCAAAAGGGCTCTCAGCCGAGGGAGGGGGGCCCCGGGGCTTCCTGGAGGAACATCTGGGGTCATGTCTGCCTCACCTGAGATACCAGGCCCCACCCTGGGGAGCTGGTGGCAATTTCTCCTGGCGCTCCAAGCCCCGCTCACAGGGTCCAGCAACGCAGCCAGCTGGCAAGGCACGCTCAGCTTGTTGGGGATGGAGACCGTGTCCTAGGCCAGGGCTTGGGGGGTGGGGGTAGGGGACACCACTTACACTCATGGGTTGGTCTGTGATGGAGTGGTAGGCCTAGTGGGGGCTGGAGCCCAGGGCCAAATGGTGACACAGAGGCACATGGAGAAGGCAGTGGGACAGCCCTGGACTCAGGGGCAGGAAACCCAAGGGCTGCTTTAGGCCCCCCTCAGGGACCCCCAGGAGGCTGGGGGACAGGACAGGCTGGGGCACTGGCTCCGCTAGGCACCTTCAAGCTCGCAAGTTCTGTGGGTCCCTCAGCCATGGCCTGGGTCCAGGCGAGCGAGGCTGCTGCACTCCCTGCTGTTTCTGCCTGACCTGCACTCACTCCCCCTTCTGGACACAGCCCCAGGTCTCCCCGAGGAATGCCCGCCTGTCCCCACTCCCAGCGATGACATAAGTCAGGGGCCAGGGGTTCTTTGTTAGCTCCAACCCAAGAGCAGGCATGTGGCCTGGCCAGCCAATTCGTGTATTCTAGCCCTTGACCACCGTGACCCAGGCAGGCATGGGCGCATGGTCCAAGTTAGACCAGTAAGACAGGTCTGGTGTACACGGGATAACACTGCACAGGCTGATACACGCAGGCATGCACACACATGCTCACACAGGGCCAGTTTCATGAGCACGTGACCTCTGCAGGGCCCCATTCTCAGACTGTCGCCATCTTGACAGTCTTAAAATTTTTTAAGGGGCCATATATTTTTTTCTTTTTCTTTCTTTTTTTTTTTTTTTTTTTTGAGATGGAGTTTTGCTCTTGTTGCCCAGCCAGGGGTGCAATGGCATGATCATCCGCTCACTGCAACCCCTGCCTCCTGGGTTCAAGCGATTCTCCTGCCTCAGCTTCCCGAGTAGCTGAGATTACAGGCACGCGCCACCACCCCTGGTTAATTGTTTTGTATTTTTAGTAGAGACGGGGTTTCACCATGTTGGTCAGGCTGGTCTCAACTCCTGACCTCAGATGATCCGCCCACTTCGGCCTCCCAAAGTGCTGGGATTATAGGCATGAGCCACCGTGCCCAGCCTTTTATATTTTCATTTTGGACTGGGCCCTGCAAATGATCTGTGCTGCACACACACACACAGACACACATATTAATATATGTAAAAAATGGTGAAAACTGAGCAAAGACTATATTCTGGTCAACAGTACTGTACCACCAGCTGCTGGTTTTGATATTGAACTACAGCTGTCTAGGATATATCCATAGGGGGAAGCTGGAAGAAGGAACCACAGGACTCTTTGCACTATTTTTTGCAGCTTTCTGTTTATAATTATCTCAAAATAAAATGTTAAAAAAAAACAACCCTTCTCAATCCTGAGATTTAGCTTAGAATACTTGGAAAGAGGAGACCTCTTTTATTTTTGCCTAAGCAAAGGAGCTGTGACGCGATCCTGAGGCAGCCCCCGAGGGTAAAGAAACTGCCCGACGTGACTGTCAAGGAGTGAGCAAAGCTGTGAGAGGCAGAGGGAGACCAAGTCTTGGGGACCTCTTTTGAGCCCCTGGATCAAACCGTGCCTGAAGTCCATACACCTTGGGTTTTTCAATTACATGAACGCTTTTGACTATCTGCTATTCTCAGTTACATGAACCACACATTCCCTGCTACGTTTAAGCCAATTTGAGTTACGTTTCTGCCACTTGCTCCTGAAATAGCCCTGACACATTTCAACCTCCAACCCCATTTTGGGAGAAGGACACTAAGGTGTGGAGAGGACATTAGTCAGAGGCCACACAACCTGTGTGCTTCCCAACCAGCCCTGCTGCCTCTCTTGAGGGTGGGAGGGAGACATGGTGGGGAGGTGGGGGTCACTCACCTCAGGACAGCATAAAGAACAATGGTGAAGGCCAGGAAGATCATGGAGACCCCACAGCCTGCCTGGGAGATGCGTGTGAGGATCTGCACCGTGGACTGGTCCAAGATGGGTCGCTGTGGGTGACCCCGGAAGCAAGACCATGTCATTTGGAAGCCAGGCCCAGGTACCCCAAGACCAGGCAGCGCCCTCCCCTAGACAGGAGCTGGAAGACCCTGGGACAGCTGGGATCAGAGTAAAAGGGGCTGTTACCAGGAGCAGGGTGAAAAAGGTCAGGTGGTCACAACGGCATACGGTCCCCTCGGGTCCGACCTCCGTGGAGCAGCCCTCAGAAGCCCAGTCTCCAGTGGGCCCTGGAGAGGAGGCCAGGGGAACAGAGGGAAAAGGAATATAGAGAGCAGAGGGAAAGGGAGGGGAGAGGAGGGGAACAAAGGGGAAGGGAATATAGGGAATGGGAGGGGATGGAAAGGGAGGGGAGGGAGGGGAGGGGAAGAGAACAGAGGAGAAGGGAATATATGGCGGGGAGGGGAGGGAAGCAGGGAGGGGAGGGGAGAGGAGTGGGGAGGGGAGGGGAGTAGGGAGGGTAACGGGGAGGGGAGGAGAGGGGAGTGGGGAGGGGAGGGGAAGGAATGGGG